GGGAGCCCGGACAGAGCGGCGGGGGAGGGGGGGACGGCCTAGAGCGGCCTCCCGCGCAGCCAATCGGCAGCCGCCGTGCTCCGCGCCGGCCAATGGGAACGGGGCTTCTTGGGCCGCTTCGGAGGAGGCGGGGGGGGAGGCGGGCCGTCGCCCTCGGGAGCGAAGGGGGAGGCAGGCCGGAGCAATCGACAGTCGGGAGAAAGGCAGGAACAATCGAAACGCGCAGGAACCCGCGCTAACGGCTGGTCGCTCCTCGGGGAGTACTGGGAATTGTAGTTCCAGGAAAGGAGGGCGGGGAAGCCGGGGGAATCGCCCTTGCTCTCAGTGAACTACAATTCCCAGGATTCTCTGATGTGACATGAAAAGGGCCGTTGGGCAACAGGTGAGATGCCCAGTCGGATAGGCAAACGTCCTTCCAGGTACTAGAAAAACAGGGGCGGGGAACAGGTCACTTCCCCCCCCCCCGCTCCCAATTCTTTACTGAGTCCCAACGGCCGTCATCTGAGTTGCCACCAGTGTTCCCTCTAAGCTGAGTTAGTGTGAGCTAGCTCACAGTTTTTTAGCCTCCAGCTCACAGATTTTTGTCTTAGCTCAGGAAGGGTGGCTCCAAGGCAAACTAATTTAGGCAGCAGCCAAGTCGTTCGCTCACAACTTTAATGCCAGGAGCTCACAAAGTCGAATTTTTGCTCACAAGACTCCACAGCTTAAAGGGGAGCATTGGTTGCCATCCTCCCGAGGTGGTCTGGAGATCTCCCGAAATTACAAATGTTATCCAGGCTGTACATACCAGTTCCCATACAGAAAAGATTTGTTGTTGTTCAGTCGCACAGTCGAGTCCGACTCTTCGCGACCCCATGGACCAGATCCCCCCAGGCCCTCCTGTCTTCCGCCGTCCTCTGAAGTTGGCTCAATTTCATGTTCGTTGCATCGATGACACTGTCTCACCATCTCATCCTTTGCCGTCCCGGTCTTCTTTGACCTTCCGTCTTTCCCAGCATCAGGGTCTTCTTCTCCAGTGAGGGCTCCCTTCTCATTGGGTGGCCACAGAATTTGAGCTTCAGTTTCATTATCTGGCCTTCCAGGAACAGTCGGTTGATTTCTTTTAGGATTGACTGATTGGATCTCCTTGCAGTCCAAGGGACTCTCAAGAGTCTTCTCCAGCACCATAGTTCAAAAGAATCTATTCTTCGGCGCTCGGCCTTCCTTATAGTCCAACTCTCGCATCCATACATGACTACTGGGAATACCATTGCTTTGACCATGCGGACTTTTGTTGGCAGGGTGATGTCTCTACTTTTTATCATGCTGTTTAGGTTCGCCATCGCTTTCCTCCCAAGTAGCAGGCGTCTTTTAATTTCATGGCTGCTGTCACAGTCTGCGGTGATCTGGGATCCCAGGAACGTGAAGTCTGTCACTACTTCCACGACTTCCCCTTCTATTTGCCAAGGAGTGATGGGGCCGGATGCCATGATCTTAGTTTTTTTGATGTTGAGCCTCAAGCCCACTTTTGCGCTCTCCTCTTTCACTCTGACCAAGAGGCTCTTTAGGTCCTCTTCACTTTCTGCCATTAGAGTGGTATCGTCTGCATATCTGAGGTTGTTGATCTTTTCCCCAGCAATCTTAATTCCCGCTTGTGATTCATCCAGGTCAGCATTTCGCATGATGTACTCTGCACATATATTAAATAAGCAAGGTGACAATATACATCCTTGTCGTACTCCTTTTCCTATGCTAAACCAATCAGTTGTTCCATAACTGGTTCTAACTGTTGCTTCTTGACCCTTATACAGGTTTCTCAGGAGACATGTGAGGTGGTCTGGCACTCCCATCTCTTTAAGAACCTGCCATAATTTATTGTGATCCACACAATCAAAGGCTTTAGCATAGTTTTTTTTGATGTTGAGCATAGTTTTTTTAATGTTGAGCTTCAAGCTGCCTTTGCTGTTGCCTAAATCCGGAGGTTCTCGTCAGCAGCAATCACTTTATAACGATCAAAATAACTTCATGTATTCTTATAATCTCAATTGTTTCATGAATGTTTATTAACTGTATTTACTGTTACAATAATGTCACTTACTGTTCCATGACATGATGATTGAATATATCTAGCGTCTTTGATGCCAGTCTGTTCATTACATATTTAGTTAGATAGACTCTTTGGCATTTTAACCCGACTGAGGTCCTCCCCCCCCAAAAAAAAAAGCTTTCCCAACCCGAAGCTGGCAAGGATACCCCCATCCCCCCCCCCCTTTGTTGGTGGGAGGGAGACCTTGCAACCCAGTCAGGCTAAAAACCGGCGCACCTCAGTTTTGTCCGTTTTTATGGTCTATATCGGGGATTTTTTTGCGATGGGCTGTTAATGCTGGATTTTAATATCTTGGGGTAAGGTAGGCTTGCCAACATCCAGGTGATAGCTGGAGATCTGCTATTACAAGTGATCACCAGGGGCCAGAGATCAGTTCATTCACACCTGTAGAAAATGGCCACTTGGGAAGGTGACTCCCCAAGTCCCCACCCCTAATTCTCCAGGAATTCCCCCAGCTGGGAGCTGGCAACACTAACTCGTGCTTTGGAAAGACCCCTGGAGAGGCAGCATGATTTAGTTTCTAAATGAATAAATGTTCTAAAGCAAGCACGATTTCCTGGGCGGGGGGGCTGAGGGGGGGGGACAATGTTCCCTCTAAGCTGTGGAGTCTTGTGAGCAAGAATTCTACTTTGTGGGCTCCTGGCATCAAAGTTGTGAGCCAGCGATTTGGCTGCTGCATGAATCAGTTTGCTCTGGAGCCATCCCTTCCTGAGCCGGAGGCTAAAAAAACTGTGATCTAGCTCACACTAACTCAGCTTAGAGGGAACCCTGGGATGGGGTGTTACCAGCCAGTCAGAGGACTCTCGGTTTCCCTTCGACCCCGAAATGCAGGCTCTGAGCGCCGGGGGAAGGCGCGGATTGCGGCCGGAACGGAAGTCTGCCGGAACGGAAGTGTCCATGCCCCCGGGGCGGAGGGGGGTCGGCTTCAAGCGACGGACCAAGATGGCGGCGCCCAGCTCCGCGGCTGCAGCGCCCGTCCCCGAGAGCGAGGAGGGCGATTTGGGAGGCAAAGCCAAGTCTCCGGCCATCACCCCGCAGAAGATCCGGGAGCTGATAGATGAGGGCATCGCTCCGGAGGAGGCGGGCCTGGAAGGGTGAGCGAGCGGGAGAGAAAGAGCCGGCAACCGCCGCCAGAGCCCAGTCACTCCCCAGCCGCGCAGATGCAAAATGGCCTTTGTCCGTTCCAGTGCGGGAAACGGCATCTCCCCCTCCCCTTGCAGAAAAGGGTCGCCACCTCTGGGGTGGGAGAATTCCTGGAGACTTTGGGGTGGAGCCTGGGGAGGGGAGGGACTCCAGTGGGGTTTAATGCCATAGAGCCCACCCTCCCAAGCTGCCGTTTTCTCCAGGGGAACTGATCTCTATCTCCCAAAGATCAGCTCGAATTCAATCCATCTGGACTGAATTGCGACCTAGGTTTCCTGTCTCATTACCAGTGCTGATTTCTCCACGCCTATTACCCTTCTGCCGTCTCTGGCCCTAGCTCCTGCCAAGCAAGAAATTGCAAGTAGATAAATAGGTATCGCTTTGGGGGGAAGGTAGCAGCCTTCCGTGCGCCTCGGCTTTTAGTCATGACCACGGAGAAGTCTTCGGACAGCGCTGGCTCTTCGGCTTGGAAACTGAGATGGGCACCACCCCCTATAGTCAGATGCGACTGGCTTTTGAGCAAGGGAAACCTTTACCTTTGTTACCCTTCTGCATGTCTCACCTAAATCCAATCACACCTGCTATTATCATTTGGTATCTGAAGTTACTCCACTTACCAGTAAATATGACAGATGGATTCCCATTCTAGCTGTATCTGAAGAAGTAAGCAGTGACTCATGAAAGCTCATGCCCCAGTGGTGGCGAACCTATGGCACGGGTGCCAGAGGTGGCACTCAGAGCCCTCTCTGTGGGCACGCGTGCCATCGCCCCAGCCTGGCCCAGACCATCATCTGCCAAATAATTCTAAGTAAATGAAAGCATTTGGGATTGCTTTCCTTACTTTGTTTGGATCATCTTAAGTTAATGTATGAGCTGTTTTTTTCTAAAGTACAACCTCAGTATTCAGGTTAAATTGCCGTGTTGGCACTTTGCGATAAATAAGTGGGTTTGGGGGCGCAGTTTGGGCACTCGGTCTCTAAAAGGTTCGCCATCACTGTCATACCCTGTCACATATTTTGTTAGTCTTTAAGGTGCTACTGGACTCTTGCTCTTTTCTAGCTCTAATTCTAGGAGATCTCGAGGCCCCACTTGGAGGCTAGCAACCCTCTATGCCCCTCATGCCCCTATGGACCAAGATTTGGGGAGGTTATCCTGGGGAGGGTGAGGTTTGGAGAGGACAGGGATCTTAAGTGGAGCATAAGACCATACGGTTGCCTCACCAAAGCAGAACTGATCTCTGCCGCCTAAAACTGAGCTGAAGTTACAGATCTTCAGTCCCCACCTGGAGATTTGTAACCCTACGTATGACTCCTGTTCATTTTTGCTGCAGCTGACTAATACAGCTATTTCTCTAGACTTAAAACCTGATACATTTGTTACAGCACAACCTTTCGTATGCCAGAGCCCTCTTTCTCAGATGCATGAAGTGTTGTGTTGTGTTCTGTTCACTGTAGGCTGCTTGAATGGATATGGGAAAGAAATAGCATGAACCAGGTGCCACCATATAAAATGCACCAGAACAGGTGCTGGCGGGTGCCCTGGTGCCCACTGACCCTGGGTTATGTATCGCTTTTCAGACGAGCTGTCAAAGTCCAATCAGAACAGTCAGGCTATAGGTACTGGTCTGGGCCAAAGATAGTCCCTGGGGTACAATCCAGCACACCTTCTTAAAGTTGCATGTGTTTATAGATAAGTGCACCTGATAATCTGAATTGCATAGCTGATTATGTGCCACATTTCTTTATTGCATTAGTACTCCACTTTTCAGTCAAATACGAGCTCCCCAAACAGCTTAAAAAGGTAAAGGTTCTCTTGCTTGAAAGCCAGTCGAAGCCGACTCTAGGGTTGCGGTGCTCATCTCCGTTTCATAGCCAAAGAGCCAGCGGCTGTCCGAAGACAGCTTAGACAGCTTAAACGATAACTACAAATGAAAGATCAGAAAAGGCACTTGGGGAAACAGAGGTTTGGGCCCAGGTATGGTGGGAAGCTGCCCTTGCTGCTGCCTCCCTCAATCCTTGCCAATAGCCATTGGTAGTTGGGAGGAGCTGCGTCTCCTTCACCCTCTGGCCACGGGAATAAGAGTTGATAGAGGTTAGGGCTCTTTAGCTTGGAGAAACGACAGCTGAGGGGGTGACACGATAGGTAAAGTTTCCCTTGCTCGAAAGCCAGTCGAGTCCGACTCTAGGATTGCGGTGCTCATCTCCACTTCAAAGCTGAAGAGCCAGCACTGTCCGAAGACGTTTCCGTGGTCACGTGGCCGGCATGACTAAACACCAAGGTGCACGGAACACTGTGACCTTCCCACTGAAGTGGTACCTCTACTTGCAATTTCTTGCTTTCGAACTGCTAGGTTGGCAAGAGCTGGGGCCAGAGACGGGAGCTCACTCCGTCATGTGGCACACTCGGGTCTCGAACTGCTGAACTACCGACCTTCCACAGCCTGCAGTTCAGGATCTTAACCACTTGAGGTTTACAAAATTATGCATGGGATAGAGAAGTTGAAGAAAGAAAGTTTCTCCCTTTCTCACAATACAAGAATGTGTCGTGGGCGGTCCATGAAACTAATGAGAAGTATGCTTAAAACAGATAAAAGGAAGCACTTCTTCACTCAAAGCGTAATTAACTCATGTAACTCACTGCCACAGGAGGTGGTGGCGGCGGCTACAAGCATGGACGGCTTCAAGAGGGGACTGGATAAACATATGGAACAGAGGTCCATCAGTGGCTATTAGCCACAAGGTATAGATGGAATACTCTGTGTGAGGCATTGATTCTCTGTATTCTTCATGCTTGGGGGGCAACAGTGGGAGAACTTATTTATTTATTTAGAAAATATCTATGCCGCCTCTCTGAGTCTTGCTCCAGGCGGGTTAAGGTTGTATCATTTTATTTTTTATTTTTTAAAACAATTTTTATTAGAGGGATATTACATCACGTTCAATATCAAAACATTAGATTCATTACATATCCCTTTTTACTTCCCCCCTCCCCTTCTTCTTCGGGCTTCTTGCAGTGCTCCCACCCCCTCCCTTTCTTCATTTCTTCTTAGTCTTCTTATCTTTAACAAAAAACAAACACAACACAAACACATTCGTATACCGGTAACCTCTGAGTCTTGCTCCAGGCGGGTTAAGGTTGGGTCATTTTAGACTGTACTGGAATTTATTGTTGTGATCCACCCTGAGCCTGCTTGCGGGGAGGGCGGGATATGAATTGAAATAATAAAGTAATAAAACAATATAAAGCAGCAAACCATTGAAGCTGAGCCATTAGACATAAACAGCACTTTTAGAAAATCTGTCTGTAGAACAGAGCTCACGCCAGAAGCAAGCCATTAAAAAGCCAATAAGATAAAGCTAATTAAAAGCCTTGGTAAAAAGATGGGATCTATTTATTTTATTTATTTCCAGAATTTGAACTTGCCTTTCTGGCTAAAAATTTAAAACATACAGGATGAAAATACATTATAAAACCATTAGAATAAAGCCCCTTCCCAAACACACCTAATTGAAACAACTTTAAAAAGAGTTCTAGCTTGGCACGTAAAAGTAAAATAGGTGCCAGATGAAGAAGAGAGAAGAAAAGAGATTGGATTTATACCTCGCTCTTCACTACCCAAAGGAGTCTCAGAGCGTAAGAACGAGGGCTTTGAATTGTGCCTGGAAACAGATAACCATTGTAGATCTTGCAGCACAGAGGCGAAGGCTTCGGTGTGCTTCACCCACTGCTTGTCGTTGCCGTGCAGAAGATATTTATTTGTTTTATCCATTTAAAATATTTATGAGCCACCTTTCTTCCTTAAGGTGCTCAGAGGCTGAGATCCCTGGTCTTGAACGGCCGCAGCCGCTGGTTTGGTATAGTGGTTAAGTGCGCGGACTCTAATCTGGGAGAACTGGGTTTGATTCCCCACTCCTCCAGATGCAGCTGCTGGTGTGACCTTGGGTGAGTCACGAGTTTTCTCAGAGCTGTCCTTGAAAAAGAGCCGTTTTTTTCAGAGCTCTCTCAGCCCCACCGACCTCCCAGGGTGTCTGTTGTGGGGAAGGGAGTTTGTAAACCGCTCTGAGACTCCTTTGGGTAGTGAAGGGCGGGGTATAAATCCAATCTCTTCTTCTTCTTCTTCTCGTCTCGAGTGCGTAAGCCTCTTGGGGGGGGGGGTCAGAGGGATTGATAGACGCCAGTGGAAACCTGTTCCTGTTGCCATTGTGAATGGCAAAGTATATAAATGTACGGTTTTCGTTTCAGAAAGGACACTTCTGCCTTATCCGACGCTGCCAACGGACCCTCCCGGACCGACGAGCTGCCTTTTGAAACCACCAGCAAGGAAGCCTTCTTCGGCAGAGTGGAAACATTCACCATATCCTTTCTTTCATCGCCAAAGTGACTGTATCGGGTGATGAGGAACTGGAACCAGGGAGATCCCCAGTAATCAGGAGCTAGGTCCAGACGGGGCGGGAGGGGGACCCCTTTGTGCGTGTGTGTGAAGCGCCGTCAAGTCGCTTGAAAATTATTTAGTTATTTATTAGCCGGTCTATACCCCCGCCCTCCCAGGCAAGTCCGGCTCAGGGCAGCTTACAAAAGAATAAAACACACAGTGCTTTCGGCACGCTTCAGTAACGGATCTTATATCCACGTTCACACACCCAACACCTGCGCACCGTCCCCAGCCGTTGCTTTCCAGCTCAAACCCCCTTTAAAACGGAGTACTTTGTTACCAGGTCCCCAAGTTTGGTGTAGCGGTTAAGTGTGCGGACTCTAATCTGGGAGAACCGGGTTTGATTCCCCACTCCTCCACTTGCACCTGCTGGTGTGACCTTGGGTCAGTCACAAGCTCTGGCACCGCTGTCCTTGAAAAAGAGCAGTTTGTGTCAGAGTTCTCTCAGTCCCACCCACCTCACAGGGTGTCTGTTGTGGGGAGGGGGAGGGAAAGGAGTTTGTCAGCCGCTCTGAGACTCCAAGTGAAGGGCCATGGGGTATAAATCCAATCTCCTCCTCCTCCAAGTGGTGTTTTCCTGATTCTCCGGTTCCAGCCGCACTTTTCTGACGCCTGATTGCTCCTGTGGTGTCGAGCCGCTTCCGGCTTAAACCCCCTCCCCACTCGAAAGCTGCCTTAAGCTTTCCGCTTTTCGCCCGCCATTTTTTAAAAAGCGTTGGTGGTGTGCGCATAGGCAGAGCTCCGCCACCGCCTTTAGAAAACTGACATTTAGTGTTTAGACACATTCGGGATCTCACGGAGGCAATTTTTGGGTCAAACGTTTAAAGGGAAGTCTTTTGTTGGAGGGGTTGGATTGATTCGCCCTGGTGGTTCTGCGCATGCGCCATGATAGTTTCCCTCCCTTCTAAGGAGGAGCGCCAGGGGGGGGACGCACCGACACACGCTCCCGTGCATCAGTAGTGTAGACGCCGGGGAGCGATGTGACTGCGCGGTGAGGCGAGATAAGGGAGGTAAGTGTGATCGCAACTATCCAGATCAAATATAATCCGGTTAGAACCGTAGCAGTTTAACCCACTCTCAGCATGTCGTCTGACCGCACCCAGTAAATAGTTTAGATAATCCTAAAACAATATAAAGCAATTATAACTTATAGTGGCCCTCTGAAGTCAGGTCCTCCAAAATGTTCTCTTGGAAGCCAGCAAATGGGCAGAGACAAATTTGGGTTCACAGAGGGAGAGCCAGTTTGGTGTAGTGGTTAAGTGTGCGGACTCTAATCTGGGAGAACCGGGTTTGATTCCCCACTCCTCCACTTGCACCTGGCTGGATGACCTTGGGTCAGTCACAAGCTCTGGCACAGCTGTACCTGAAAGAGCAGTTTGTGTCAGAGTTCTCTCAGCCCCACCCACCTCACAGGGTGTCTGCGGTGGGGAGGGGAAGGGAAAGGAGTTTGTAAGCCTCTCTGAGACTCTGGGCGGGGTATAAATCCAATCTCTTCTTCTTCGTTCGAAGGAGGCAAGTGATAGCAAATCCCTTCTTAGAAGCTTAGGTCTTTATTTGGTTGCTCGTGGTAAAGGAAAGCCTCTGTTCTCTACAGGCGTTTGAGACACTGACCCTCGAACAAAGCCGAAGTTACATCTCATACAGGCAAAATTGCATCACTACAGAAAAGTTATTGATTAACAGCTCCATACTTCACCAAATGCGGAGGAGAAGAGGAGGAGATTGGATTCATACCCCGCCCTTCACTACCCAAAGGTGTCTCGGAGTGGTTTACAAGCTCCTTTCCCTTCCCTCCCCACAACAGACACCCTGTGAGGTCGGTGAGGCTGAGAGAGCTCTTGACAGAAACGGTTCTTTTTCAAGAACAGCTGTGCCAGAACTATGGCTTGCCCAAGGTCATCCAGCCAGATGCGAGTGGAGGAGTGGGGAATCAAACCCGGTTCTCCCAGATTAGAGTCCGTGCGCTTAACCATGACACCAAACTGGATTCATACCCCGCCCTTCACTACCCAAAGGAGTCTCAGAGTGGCTCACAAACTCCTTTCCCTTCCCCTCCCCACAACAGACACCCTGTGAGGTAGGTGGGGCTGAGAGAACTCTTGACAGAAACTGCTCTTTTTCAAGAACAGCCGGGCAAGAACTAGGCTTGCCCAAGGTCATCCAGCCAGGTGCAAGTGGAGGAATGGGGAATCAAACCCGATTCTCCCAGATTGGAGTCCGCACACTTAACCGCTACGCCAAACCGGCTGTATAAATCCAATCTCCTCTTCTTTGAGATGACGTCAGGCGGGTGGTAACAGGGAAGAGTCGGCAGTGGAGAAAAGTCAGAGTTGAGGCCGATCTCCCCTGGAAAGGTGAATCGGCTCATTGGAAGGGCAAGCTAGGAGACGGTCGAGGCCTGGGAGAAGCCAGCAGGAGAATACAGGGCAGGTTTAGAATTCGGTGCCGGGCCATGGAAGAGTAGCTTGGGAGACGAAACCTTACTCCAAACCGCCGAAGATGTCTTTCCCTCCGGTGTCCTTAACGCGAGCACTCTCTCAAATGGCCCGGCAAGCCCCACGAGCTGTCTCCCCTGATCTGCGCCAGGTACGGATGGACCAACGTCGAGTGCGACATGTTGAAGTGTGCCAGCTGCCAGGCCTACCTCTGCGCCAGTCTGCAGCTGGCTTTCGACTTCAGCAAGTGTACGTATCGCAGGGCCCAGCCGCTGTGCTTCTGCAGGCACCGAATTCGAGTCGGAGACAGGTTAACATGCCAAGAATTTCAGTGGTCATTAAAAAAAAAAACCCAGCAAGGTATTAGCCCTCATGGGTGAGAATGTGGGCGTTTAAATATCTCTTGGCAATGTCTGGTGAAACCTCAAGTTTAAAGGAATGTTGGGCAGGATTTTGTGTGTTGGGGGGATGTTATCGTCCAGGCTGAGTAGCAGAAATGGGCGGCACGTTACAAAACTGGCAGAATTTGTGCAATTCTTGCAGCTCTACTCTTTTCTTGGCACAGATTTTTCAAAATAAGGTCAGTGCCAAAGTCATGCAGTTGTAGGTTTCTGTGCCTGATCTGTCATGCTGGGAAGAGCTCAGAGTTGTCGACGTGGCTGTTGATTGCACTAGAACAGTGCTGGCGAACCTATGGCACGAGTGCCAGAGGTGGCACTCAGAGCCCTCTCTGTGGGCACGCGTACCATCGCCCCAGCCAGGCCCAGACCATCATTAAAGTGTTGAATTCTCTGCCAAATAATTTTAAGTAAATGGAAGCATTTGGGATTGCTTTCCTTACTTTGTTTGGATCATCTTAAGTTAATGTATGAGTTGTTTTTTCTAAAGTAAAACCTCAGTATTCAGGTTTAATTGCCGTGTTGGCACTTTGCGATAAATAAGTGGGTTTTAGGTCACAGTTTGGGCACTCGGTCTCTAAAAGGTTCGCCATCACTGCACTAGAACATAATGTAAAGGCATTCACCTCAGAACTGCTACTTTTAGGTCAGCAACTGAATGTCCTGGAAAGTTAAAATGTTCCCCCACTGGTTTTTGAATGTTGTGGTTTCTGATGTCAGACTTCTGTCCATTGATACTCTGTTCAAGGGACTAGCCTGTTTCTCCAATATCTGACATAACAGTGACTAACGAAACAGCTCACTTAATGCCTTTCTCTCTTCCACACAAATAGTTTAATTTCTTTAGGGTTGATACCGTATTCTGTCACTAGTTGCCGCTGTACTGATATTTACCACCCTTGGCTGCTCTCAGAAGCCAAATAACTCAATACTGACACCTTGTGTCAGAATACAGCACTACAACCATCAAAATATGAATGACTTCTTTCAGGGAGGACATACACTTGACTGTTCCTAACCCAGTTGTCTGTGCTCCCACACACACAAACAATCCAATGAGCTCCCCCTTAATTACTGCAGGTATGTTTTTAAACTGCTGGTTGGTAAATAAACTGTTGTCTGAGATTTTGCTGCTTTGCAGATTACTAGAAATACTGTTTTGGGTTCCTGTTCTTGATCGGTCCAGTTCTGCTTTTTTCTTCTTCTTCATTTAGCTGCTTAGCAGTGTCTTGAGAATCCTTCTTTCCCTGGTGTTCAGGAAGTGTGTTTTGCTTTCCAGACAAGGAGAGGTGTTCGGAGCTGAAAAAAGCCCTGTCGACTGCACATGAGAAGTTCTGTTTCTGGCCAGACAGTCCCTGCCCAGGTAAGCAATGAGGTGCCCTGAGGGAAGCGACAGAATGAAGACATGCCAGTCCGTAGCAATAGAAGAAGAGGAAAAGGAAGAAGTGGAAGAAGAGATTGGATTTATACACTGCCCTTCACTCAGAGTCTCAGAGCGGCTGACAATCTCCTTTCCCTTCCCTTCCCCACAGCAGACACCCTGTGGGGCAAGTGGGGCTGAGAGAGCTCTGTCAGGAACTACCCTTGAGAGAAGAAGAGATTGGATTTATAGCCTGCCCTTCACTACCCAAAGGAGTCTCAGAGCGGCTCACAATCTCCTTTCCCTTCCCCTCCCCACAACAGACACCCTGTGAGGTAGGTGGGGCTGAGGGAGCTCTGACAGAAACTGCTCTAGAGAGAAGAAGAGATTGGCTTTATACCCCGCCCTTCACTACCCGAAGGAGTCTCAGAGCGGCTCACAATCTCCTTTCCCTTCCCCTCCCCACAACAGACACCCTGTGGGGCAGGTGGGGCTAAGTGAGCTCTCTTGAGAACTGCTCTTGAGAGAAGAAGAGATTGGATTTATACCCCGCCCTTCACCCAGAGTGGCTGACAATCTCCCTTCCCTTCCCCACAGCAGACACCCTGTGAAGTAGGTGGGGCTGAGAGAGCTCTCTCGAGAACAGCTTTGAGAGAACTTGTGACTGACCCAAGGTCACACCAGCAGCTGCATGTGGAGGAGGCTTGGGGACTCAAACCCGGTTCTCCCAGATTAGAGTCCGCGCTCCCAACCACTACACCAAACTGGTGATAAAGACACCGGGGGGGGGGGTTTTCGGGGGGGGGGGGGGTTCACTCCTGATTACAGCAGCATCCCAGAAACTTTTTTTTTAGAAATGTTGGGATCTGTTACCCACCAGTCTGGTGTAGAGCTTGGAGCTGTCGGACTAGGATCTCAGGAACCCAGGTTCAATGCTCCCTCTAAGCTGTGGAGTCTTGTGAGCAAAACATTCTACCTTGTGAGCTCCTGGCACGAAAGTGGTGAGTGAGTGCTTTGGCTCCTGCATCAATCAGTTTGCTCTGGAGCCCGTCCTCCCTGGACTGAGACAAAAATGTGTGAGCCGGAGGCTAAAAAATTATGAACTAGCTCACACTCACTCAGCTTAGAGGGAACACTGCCTGTGAGGTCGGTGGGGCTGAGAGAGCTCTCCAGAGAACAGCTTGTGAGAGAACTTGTGACTGACCCAAGGTCACTCCAGCAGCTTCAAGTGGAGGAGTGGGGAATCAAACCCCGTTCTCCCAGATTGGTTCCTGCATCAATTTGTTTGTTCTGGAGCCCTCCTCCCTGGGCTAAGACAACAATGTGTGAGCCGGAGGCTAAAAGACTGTGAGCTAGCTCACACTCAGCTTAGAGGGAACACTGGTCCCCACTCTGCCATGGAAGGCTGCTGGGTGACTTTGGGCCAGTCGCACACGCCCAGCCTTGTCTACCTCACAGGGTGGTCGCGAGGATAAAAGGGAGCAGAGGAGGACAACATGAGCCGCTTTGGGCCCCATTGGGGAGAAATGCAGGGCGTAAATGAGGTAAATAAATAAAAGGCCCTGACGTTTAGACCACACTTGTCTCCCACTCCCTGCTCTGCGGTCTACTCTGCTGGATGGCCTTGGGCAAGCCGTACTTCTGATAAGAGCTGTTCTCTCATGAGCAGTTTCTGTCAGAGTTCTCTCAGCCCCACCTACCTCCCAGGGTGTCTGTTGTAGGGAGGGGAAGGGAAGGGAGTTTGTGAGCCGCTCTGAGACTCCTTTGGATAGTGAAGGACGGCCTATAAACCCAATCTCTTCTTCTCTCAAGAGCAGTTCTCAAGAGAGCTCTCTCAGCCCCACCCAGGTCTCTCAGAGCTCTTTCCGCCCCACCTACTTCTCAGGGTGTCTGTTGTGGGGAGGGGAAGGTTGTGAGTCGCTCCTCCTCCTCCTCCTCCTCCTTTTTCTTCCTCTTCTTCTTCCTCTTCTCTGCCTCCTTCCTCTTCTTCTTCTTCCTCCTCCTCTTCCTCCTCTCCTCCTCCTCCTTCCTCTTCTTCCTCCTCTTCTTCCTCCTATCCTCCTCCTCCTTCCTCTTCTTCTTCCTCCTCCTCTTCTTCCTCCTCCTCCTCTTCTTCTCCTCCTCCTTTTTCTTCCTCTTCTTCTTCCTCTTCTCTGCCTCCTTCCTCTTCTTCTTCTTCCTCCTCCTCTTCCTCCTCTCCTCCTCCTCCTTCCTCTTCTTCTTCTTCCCCCTCTTCTTCTTCTTCCTCCTCTTCCTCTTCTTCCTCCTCCTCTTCTTCTTCTTCCTCCTCCTCTTCCTCCTCTCCTCCTCCTCCTTCCTCTTCTTCTTCTTCCCCCTCTTCTTCTTCTTCCTCCTCTTCCTCTTCTTCCTCCTCCTCTTCTTCTTCTTCCTCTCCTCCTCCTCCTCCTCCTCCTCCTCCTCCTTTTTCTTCCTACCATGCCCCCCCCGACTTCCCATCGGGCCCAGGCCCCCCAACAATGAGAGGGAGAAAACAGGGTCCTTGTATTTTTTTTGCATTGGGTTCAGTGGTCTGTGGGCTGACAAACTATTTGGGAACAGGGGATGCATTGTTTATTCTGGCTGGAGAGAGCGAGAGTGAATGTGTGTGTGTGTATGTGTGTGTGTGTGTATGCACCCCACAAAAAAAAAAAACCCCTGGCTATGGCCCCGTCCCTTCCCCTCCTCCTGGCCTCATGATGGGGCAGGCTGTGAGAGGGTCAAGAGTCCCCCGATGAAGCAGAGGCAGCAGCGGGTGAGATCGGCTCTCCCGGAACTGCAGGGAGGAGCCCAGAAGTGCCGCTGCTGCGGAGCACCCCAGAGGAGAGTGGTTGCCAAGGCAACGGTAGCACGGGCCCACGTGTTTCAGTGAGCCCGATATCCAGGGCAACCCGGGACATGCTCGCTTGCCCCTAAATCTGATCTTCAGACAAGTGTGCATGGCTTGACCAGGCTGGGAAGGGGGGGGGGTGCCTGACCACGGAGGATTTCTCTGCAGCTTCCAGCCATGGCTGGGAAGGGGACTGTGGGCGGCGACAGGCGGGGGCAACCTCTTCCCCTCCCAGTCTGAAGCCCCTCTGGGCCGTCTTGGCACGGTCTTTCCTTGAAGGCAGGCAGCGGCCGAATGGAAAGATCCGGCTTCCCAGGGTGAGGGTCGCAAACGGAGCTGCCCTCTACTGAGTCTGCCCGCGGGTCTGTCAAGGACGGCCTCGTCCGCTCGGGCCGGCAGCAGCTCTCCTGGGTCTGAGATCGAGGCCTTCCGCATCCTTTTTTTTTTCCAAACTGGAAGCGCCAGGGATTGGACCGGGCACCGTCCCTGCCCCCGAGCCACAACCCGTTCCGTTGACAGACCTTTCTCTCTTTGACCGCCGCTTAGATCGCTTTGCCGTCTTGCGGGTCGACGAGCCCCTGGCTCTTCTCGGCGACTTCCTGGAGCGCTTCCAGGGTCTGTGCCAGTTGGAGCTTCAGCTTCCCTCCTTGAAGCCAGAAGATCTGAAACACATGGTGAGCTCTCGTGCACTCAGGACTCCTGCTTGGGGATGTGGGGGGGGGAAACACCGGGGGGGGGGGGTGTTGTTGTTTTTTAAAAAAGAGGTCCTCAGAGTTCAGCAGTGCAGCTAAATCTGAGCGGTCTTCTAACTTGGCACAAGGTAAGGCTCCAGAGGAGCGGTGCATATCCTGCAGCTCCCCAGCTGAGATCTGAACCTGCAGCCTCCAGAGAGCAGTCTTAGCCAGGCCTGTAGCTACAGTGGGGTTTGGGGGGGCTCTGCCTCCTTCCTTAAAGGCACGGCCCCACAAGAATTTCTCCCATCCATCCTTTTTTTCAGTCATTTTAAGACATTTTTTAAAGGTGTGCGCTCCTTTAAGCAGAGTGGGGTGCTGCAGTTGACTAATTCCCGCAAGGAGGTTGGAGTAGGTGACCTCTAGGATCCCTTCTGACTCTGTGTCAAGAAACTGGTCTCCTAGAAGAGAGTTTTCCTGCCCAAGTGTTAGCTACAGTGGGACTTTGGGGGGCTCCGCCCCCTTTCTTAAAGGCACACCCCCAAAAGAATATCTCCTGTTAAATGATTTTTTAAATGCTCTTTTAAGCAGAATGGGGTGTTGTAGTTGACTAATTCCCGCACTGAGCAAGGGGGTTGGAGTACATGACCTCTACGATCCCTTCTGACTGTGTCAAGAAACTGGTCTCCTTTAAGAGAGTTTTCCTGCCCAAGTGTTGGCTTTCTGGACTCTAGAAGTCATCCCCCCCACCTGCCAGCTTATTCTCAGAATTGTTGCTTCGGCTGGCAGGAGTGATTAACTTGGAGCAGCTGAGGACTGTCCTCTAAAGCGGTGGACAGCTTGCAATTTAGAGATCTGCCCTGGGAACCGCTTTCTGTTGGCTCAATGGCGTTTCTTTTTGCAATGAGAACTTCAGCCCCACTGGGAAAAGACTTGCCCCACAAGCCACGAAATCCCGGCTACGGGTCCAGTCTTAGCCCTGGAAGAGGTGTGGAACTCATTTGTTGCGAGGGCATTTGCCATCGCCTGCCTCTGCGTAGCAACCTTGGACTTCCTTGGTGGTCTCCCATCCAAATACTTATCAGGGCTGATGCTGCTTAGCTTCCGAGAGCCCTGGCTGTCCAGGTCAAGGCGTTTCCCACTTCCTGAAAATTTATTAATGTAGGGGAACTTGGTAAAATGCAGGGTTCATTTCCTGCGGGAGCACACAGGAGCGGAGCTCTGGCAGTAATTTATTTATTTATTATTTATTTATTTAATTTTATTTATACCCTGCCCTCCCCGCACGCGGGCTCAGGGCGGCTAAGTAAGTAAGGAGCCCAGGGAGCGGGCACATGCAACAAGCCCCGCCCCCTGTTCCCAGCAGCCCTCAGTCGGGCCACGAGGAGC